AAGGGGAGAGACAAAATGGCTATGCAATTGTAGATGGAGCTAATAAGACTCTAGTGGAGGCTGGAAGATTGCCTAAATCTTGGTCTGCGCAAACCTGTGAACTGTATGCCCTTAGACAAAGTTTGAGATTATTAAAAGGAACATCTGGCATTATTTACATTGACTCTAAATATGCCTGTGGAGTGGTCCACCCATTTGGAAAAATTTGGTTAGAAAGAGGATTGATGAATTCAAAAGGAAGAGAGTTAATACATGAGGACTTAGTTAAAGAAGTAATGGAAGCTTTAAAACTACCCAAACACATTGCTATAGTACATGTAGCCGGACATCAAACAGGAGCAAGTTTTGAAGCTATAGGACCATGAGGCTAAGGCAGCAGGAAGCCAAGAACCAGAAATGATTATGATTACAACTCTAACTTTAAAAGGAGAATTAGTTCCAACTTTCAGTGAAGATGAAGAGAAGAGGTTGTCAGAAATGGGGGCAGAAAGGAATGCAGAAGGAAAGTGGATATTACCTGATGGAAGGCAGATATTGAATAAGTCCATAACACATGAGGTGATCCAAACTCTCCATGAGGGGTCGCATTGGGGAGCTTAGGCTTTAGTGGATGTGTTTTTGAAAAAGTATGGTTGCAAGGGAGTTTTCACTGTTGCAAAGCATATAACAGCAGGATGTTTAATTTGCAAGAAAGTTAATAGGCAAGCTCTGAGAGCCACAGAAATGGGAGGGAGACCTCCTTCATTGAGACCTTTTGAACACATACGAATAGATTACACTGAGCTGCCACCTAGTGGCCAAATGAGGTATTTACTGGTCATGGTCAATCACCTAACTCAGTGGTGGCGAACCTATGGCACGGGTGCCAGAGGTGGCACTCAGAGCCCTCTCTGTGGGCACGCATGCCATTGCCCCAGTCCTAGGCCTTCAGCTGGGTTTTATAAAACTTTTCGCTTTAGGCCTCCGCTGCCGTGTACAAAAAAAAAAAGTTTCAATCAATCAGTCAATTTCAACTTCTCGCATGAAAAAAAAGATCTTGCAAAGTTGGAATTGATTGATTGATTGAACTTTTTAATCCCACCCAGTCTCTGTTACCACTGCAGACACACCCATCCAATGGAGCACACCCAGCCAATGGGCCACACCCACCCGGCACCCGACAATGCATAAGTGGGTTTGGGGTTGCAGTTTGGGCACTCGGTTTCTAAAAGGTTCGCCATCACTGACCTAACTGGATGGGTAAAGTCTTACCCAACTGCAGTGGCCACAGCCAACACAGTGATCAGGATCTTATTGGAGCATATTATACCAAGATATGGGGTAGTGAATGTGATTGATCAAGGTACACATTTCACATCTAAAATACTACAAGGGGTCATGGGAGCATTGAGAATAAGGTGGGAACATCACGTGTCTTGGAAAGCTACGTCATCAGGCCGCATAGAATGCTCAAATGGTTTATTAAAAGAACAATTACCCAAGTTAATGATGAAACTGAAACTCCCTTGAATTAAATGTTTATCACTGGCACTTCTTAGATTACGAACAAAACCTAGGAAGGATATTGGTTTATCTCCCTATGAGATGTTGTTTGGATTGCCCTATCTGGAAAGAGTCTGGAAAGAGATGAAGGAATAGAATTAAGGGACAGAAATGTGAGAAAATATGTCGGTGATCTGTCCAGATATTTATCTATTCTCAGGACAAAAGGACTGCTGGCACAATGCCCTCCACTTGACTTTGTGGTCCATCCTTTCCAACCAGGACAGTGGGTGTTGATCAAATCCTGGAAAGAGGAAAAACTCCAACCAAAGTGGGAAGGACCATTCAAAGTATTTCTCATCACAGAAACTGCAGTGTGTACAAAAGAGAAGGGGTGGACTCACTATACCAGAGTGAAAGCCAGTACTGAACCAGTTTGGACTATAAAACCCAGTGCAAATCCTCTGAAATTCAAAATTCACAAATATTCTAAATGACTCTAAATGCAGTTCTAACAGGGGGAGTTGTGCTCACTGGAATATTGGTTGTTGTATGGTTTTGGGTTCTGTTCTTCTTTTGCAGAACGGATTGGAGGTCCACATTGTTATTCGGCAACCTGAGGAAATTGAGTTACCGAATCAGAAGACTGACAACTACCTGATGTGCTGGTTTTGTGATTGCAGGTGTTGGTGTAATTGCTGTTGCTGTACACACTGCTGTTATTATGCCCCAGTTCATAGAAATTGTGTAGAAGAGTGTGATATAGTTATAATTGAAGACCTCTTAGGACTGCCTAATGACAAGGGAGAGGATTGGGATGACTTGGTGATAGTTGAGTGGTACTGTCAGCACTTTTATCGAGGGACACAGTTCATTTATTCTTATTATTGACATCCTCCTATTCAGTAAATGTTAGAAGAACATTGGGGGTGGGCATTGTGGTTTCTTTGTTAAGTCTGGGGATCCTGGGGTATCTCCTAACTCTATTGTGAAAGACCTAAACCCAATCCAGGACCTCACCCACAATCGCATGTGTAAATTCTGTGACTGTCTTCGTTGGTATACTAACCCAACTGGCTGTTGGGTTTGGGAAATGGAAGAATATACTGATACCACTTATCACTTCTTTTATTGCAGTTTTTGGAATTTTAATAGTCTTGGGTTGCTACATAATCCCCTGTATAAAAGGACTGGTACAGAGATTAATAGAAACTGCCATTACTAAAAGAATGCCTCTAGGAGAACCCCCACCATATAAAAATGAGGAAATGATGTGTTTGAGGGATAGTGATGAGGAAGAACAACAGGAAAGTCAGACACTGGAAAATCCCAGAGAGATAGAACAAGAACTATCAGAGTGGATGTAAACCTCTTTATAACTGGGATCACTATAGCTTAGGCTTGCTTGCCAACATATACCGGTAACTGTAACCCATATATGCAAAGTGTACTTTTGCATTGTCTATAAATTTCTGAAAGCATAACAAAAAGAGACGGTGTATTGAAAGGAGATTATTAATCAGAAATTTCTAATGAGTCTAAAGGTCGATAGAAGAAGCCACCTGAAAGTCATAAATTCAGACAAGTGAATTACATACAAATAAAAAAAAGCAGAAGTTGCTAACTAACTGAAACTGCAAGTAGAGGAAACACAAAAACTGAGGATAAAGTTTAGAGTTTAATGTAGCAAAGATATAACTGCAAACAAATATAGAGATAATTTGGGGCGTTGAGTGTGATAGAGGAGGAGGGAATCTGCGCTGGGGGTAGGATATAAAAATGTGTCAAACAGCTCTTTAAGATGTGACTGGACGTGTGTTTTAGCTCACCAAGCCTTTGCAAATGCTTCTTTTTTAAAAATAAAACTTTGTTGCTGGAATTCCAATTGAGTTTGTTTGTTTTGGGATCTTGAGCCACGTTCCAAACAGTGGGATGCATGTTATAATCATAAACATGTGGTATGTCATTTTGTCAAACTATAGGACAACTTGCTGACAAGGTTCCACTAAATATTAAGATTAGTAGAAGACATAATATTTTTGTTGCAATTAGATTTTTGGCTACATCAGGGGGTTTTCTGACCAGCAAATTACTGCAGAAGGGTTTGACTTTTTGACTTTAAATAAATCTTTGAAAATATAGATAAATGTCGAATAAAAAGCAAGGGCAATGGAGAACAAAAATCAAATGCATTAATTTCCTAATTGCTTTATTTTGTAGGCTGATTAGAGGATTTAAACATATGTAACAGAATTCACCATCAAGTATGTTAAGTTTGTATTAAACCATTTTGCAAAGCAACACATTAACTTTTAACCCTTTCCACTTGATTCGTAACCTGGATTTTAAGATGTTTAAACTGGAATTTGGAAGATTGAGATTTAGATAACTTCATCACCATGAGCTTACTGAGTGGTCCAATCATTCTGTCTTGATCAAAAGGCTTCAGACTGGACAACCCCTGTCAATACAACAGGAACTAACTCCTTCCTATACAGTATAGATGTATACTGTAGTTGTTTGTGGGGATAGACCAGTGGTTCTCAACCTGTGGGTCGGGACCCCATTTGGGGTCGAACGACCATTTCACGGGGGTCGCCAAACCACACTGTCCGCCATTTTTTCCCTTTTCCCTAGCTGTCCTACTCCCTCTTATTGGTGGCCACACCCACTTGGGGGTCACCACAACATGGGGAACTGTATTATGGGGTCATGGCATTAGAAAGGTTGAGAACCACTGGGATAGACTAAGAGAAAACCCCATCTACACTTCCTTGTAGTAGAATGTAAATACTAAGATATATGGATACTTGAAGTACTTCATCACTTAGGCCAGTGGTGGTGAACCTATGGCACAGGTGTCAGAGATGGCACTCAGAGCTCTCTCTGTGGGCATGTGCGCTGTCGTCCCAGTCCTAGGCTTTCAGCTGGGTTTTATAAAACCTTTTCGCTTTAGGCCTCCGCCTCAATGTGCAAAAAAAAAAAAAAGATTCAATCACTCATGAGCCGAGGTGGCGCAGCAGTTAGAGTGCAGTACTGCAGGCCACTTTAGCTGACTGTGTTCAGCAGGTCAGCGGTTCAAATCTCACCGGCTCAAGGTTGACTCAGCCTTCCATCCTTCCGGGTAGGTAAAATGAGGACCCAGATTGTTGGGGGCAATGTAAATATATATATACATTGCTTACTGGTGTACACCGCTTAGAGAGTGCTTGCACTTAAAGCGGTATATAAGTCTCATAAATAAATAAATAAATAAATTTCAACTTCTCACAGGGAAAAAAAAGATCTTGCAAAGTTGGAATTGATTGATTGAACTTTTTAGTCCCATCCATCTGCCCTTATCACCGCAGCCATGCCCACCCAATTGGCCATGCCTACCCAATTGGCCATACCCACCCGGCACTCGATGATGCATAAGTGGGTTTTGGGTTGCAGTTTGGGCACTCGGTCTCTAAAACGTTCGCCATCACTGACCTAGGCTTATGACATCAAAAGATGGTGTAAGTTTATGTGTAGTTCAAAGATGAAATGTTGAGATTTTAGTATTCAATGACCTTGCTTTTCTCCTTGCAAACATTTAACGACCAAACTAGGAAATATCATCAGTGCTTTACAGGAACGACAGACGACACATACAGGTAAGCCAATCAGAAACATATATAACCAGTGCTTTTTTTCTTTAAAAAAAAAAAAAAGGTGCTGGAACTCATACACATCATACAACCCGCCTTGCCTACCATCCAAAAAAGGTGCCGGAACTCTGTTCTAGGCATTTTATGACAAAAAAAGCCCTGTATATAACAATTCTGATTAAGATACTAAGTCAAACAGACCTAGGTTGGCAATGAATGATCTGAAGGAAGAAAACTGAGCAAACACCCAGTGCTAACAATTGTTGCAATAGTTCTGCTTTACTTACACTGTCTTTTGATTTGAGCCATTTGGAATCTTATGCCAAAATATCTCAAGAGTCCTAAAAATCTCTTGTGCTCAAGACTGCACAGAATCTGGAGGCCAGGCCTAAAAACTAGGTACCGTGCAGTCTCACAGTTCACGTCCCGGAACCCCATTGAGCCGGAGCTTGCAATCATTACGTTCACCTCTTAGAGGCACTGGAGTTGCATCTTAGGGTTTCTCTCTCTTTTTTTTCCTCTCTCTCTCTCCTCAAAAACAATAGAAAGTTGATGAAAAAGTCACTTGAACGGGGTTCCCCACACGGGCGGGTTTTTTTTCTTCCCCTCCCTGGTTGTCTGAATTCCATCAATCCACGATCGGCCGCAATATCCTAGAAACAGAATTTGGAAAGAGCTCCCAAGGAGGCCTGAAGGAAGGGTAAGGATTCTGGGGCACAAGCATCTGCAGGCTTGCCGTAATCGTCTGAACAAAGGCTATGCCTCGGAGGAGGTGGAGGAGGAGGGTGGGAACCTTTCCGCTATGTAGTGCTTCGCTAGGCGGGGAGGGCTGGCTGTTTGCTGGGAAGTTATCTGGGATTCGAGAACGACCCGAGGGTTAGAGCAGGTTCGATTCCACGGAGGTAGCAACTAGGCTTCGTTACTCGAGTTTCCCAGGTAAACAGACCGTACTCGGTGCCCGTGCGCGATTAGACTGGGGGGGGGGGGGGAAGAACTCCGCCGGTACATAACTTATCCTGCGGAGCGGGGTAGAGGTGGCCCCGTGTAACGGATGCAACTTGAACTGGGGGCCTAAGTGAGTTCAGTATTGGGCTCCGTCGCTTTTTCTCGCGGTGTAATCTGGTTCTTTTGACCTGGCTGACGAGATGTTGAGTAAAGCAGAAAGGAAGGACCAGACCGATGTTTTTTAAACTAGACAGTGATGGACAGTTCATTCAAAAGGCATCTCACCTCTCCCTCTGTAACAGATGTTGGGTTTGGGGAAAGAAAGGGAGGGGCTAAGAAAGAGAGTGAGAGAAGAAAGGAAAGAGAACCAACTGGAGGGAAATTATGGTAAAATACCCTGAATGAGGTAGCGCAATTTCATGATAACCACTGGTTATCAGAGTTAGATGTGCTGAAGTAGCAAAAAAATAAAATAAAATAAAAATTAGGTCAGTCTTAGTCTCGTTAGACTTGCGTTAAGTTGCCTCAGAGACTGCTGGGATAAAGAAAAACAAAATCGTTGAATCCCCTCTCAACACAAGGAAGGGTAAAACCCAGAGGCTAGATTGTTCTCTGTAGAACATTATGAAGTGCCAATAGATTTTAGACCCTAACTTTAAAATGTTTTATCAGAAGATGTTTGAAACATGTTTGATAGCTTCTTTTAATGAAGTTTATAATCTTTACCCCAGATAAATATGAATTACACAAGTGATAGGCTGACTGTTGTTATATACCTATATATTTTTATTAGAGGCCTGAAGCTTAAAATGCAACATTGGTTCATTTGATGTAAGCAATACAGTATAGTTTCTTTTTTCCAGACAGGCCTTTTTTCATACATTACAGTAATTTTATTCTGGAAGGTTCATAGGATTTTCTAGATATTTTTAGAAAGTATAAAAGGATAATGAAGTTGGAAGGGATCTAGTCCAACCCTCTACTCAAGCAGGAAATCCTATAACATTTCAGACAAATCATTGTCCAATCTCTTCTTAAAACCTACACTGTTGGAGCATCCACAACTTCTGGAGAAAAGTTCTTCCACTGATTAATGGATAAAAATGAATATATCCATTATATATGGTATATATGAATGGTTTGGAAATTGAAAGCAGTAGAAATGGATGTTGCACACTCTTATAATTACCAGGAAATACTGATGACACAAGTCTGGAAAGTCCCGCGTTTTTGATAAAATCACAGCTGTAGATTTTAGAACAGAGATCCTTCCAATGACACTTTTTCTTTCTTACTTGTGTGAGCTGAGAATTACATGCGGCTAGCTTCAGGAAGTATAGTTTACTGGCTTCAGTCTTATATATAAAAGAGTTGTTACCCAAGGAGAAGCATGACCTAAAAAAAAGTCTAAAATTTGTGCATATGCTTCATGTTTACTTTTGCTTCCTTAAAATGGAGTTAGAAGCATTCAAGTATGGGGGGGGGGCGTTCCTCAATTGTCTGTGACTTGATCTTTTTATAGCAAGCAGAATATAGGCACAAAGAACTGAAAATAAGTGAATGTACCAAATAAAGCTGTGATACTCACATTTATTTAACTGGCCTGTTTTTCTTTCTCTTTATTTCTAATTGAACACTAATCTGCATGTTTCTAGCTGGTTAATAGCTTCCAAATGTGCTCTCCATAGAGATTTTTATATCTATTTTTTCTCTTACCATCACACATGCACATTCTGCATTATGCATCATATTTGCACAGCAATCTTTTAAATTGCTGTTTATTGCAGCAGTGATTCCTTTTAGGGATAGGCAGAAAATAGTTGGTAACCTGTTGTTCAATCTTAAAGCAATTGACAATGGTTTCTGACTTATCTAGTAATATAAACAAACCTAACTCCCTGCTCTCAACCTTGGGAGAATTTTGGGAATGGTCTTTTATATGAAGAGACTTGTAACATTTTTGCACTGATCAAAATTCTGAGCCTAAAAATATTCTCTTAGATTCTCAATCCCATATTTCTTATATATACCTGTCTGCCTCAGCTCATTGTTTAGTTCAAATTTCTACTTAGCAACAAATTACGAACTACATCTCATAATCAGAAGTTTTATTTTGTCACATGCCAGTTTTGCGGACAGACATGAAATATAAAATATTGTCAGAAATGTTAATGATTGCAAAAATTCTGTTTGTTATCATTCTAAGCAAACCGCCTCCTCTGCTTATTTTTTCAAGCAAAGGTCTAACTCAAAATTTACCATCTCTTAGCCATTATTTTTATTTCTTGCAAACTATTTGCGGGAGGTGTGTAGATTAAATGGGCAAATACAGTATTAGGTTTTAGTTCAGCTTGCTGCTTGGTATTGTTTTTTTCTATTGAAATTCTATTCTCAGATTTTATGTGTTTTAATGAAGCTATTTGAAATATTAATCACATCAGTAAAACAGCTAGCTTCTTTCGGCATACTTGCATACAGCGAACCGTGGTATTCAACTGCTTTGAATTTGGTACTCAACGTATTTTGATGTGAAAATTTTGTGCTGGTACTCATTGTTTGGTATTCAATGCACCAGCTAGAACTTGTCAATGTTGGTTGCCTTGTAATTCACTACCTTATTCCTTATGGGAAAAATTAGTTTGGCACTCATCGTTTTTGGTATTCATCACGTGTCCTGGAACTAATTAACGATGAGTAGCAAGGTACCACTGTATTTTCAGGTTCCATCCTGCTGATTTCTACAGAAAATGATTATCTATTACTTTCACTTTCAAGGACAGAGAAAATCCCTAATATTTCAACACCATCAAATAGATATCTTAGGATAAGAGTGGTGCCTGTTGAGTTGTTCCTTCCTTTTTCTTTATCTTAATTCCTGGGAAGTTCTGACCAGAAAAATAAGCAATATTATTTAATGTATTGCTGAAATGATTCCTATGGAAATGCATATCATAATATGTTAAAACTGTATAAACATTTAAATAGTGGAGACAGCAGCTCTCTAGGGCCCCACATTAGTGTCCTTTTACCTTGCTTGAAGATGCCAAAAGTTGAATCTGAGAGCTTTGAATATAATGGCGAATAGCAATAGCTCTTAGACTTATAAACCGCTTCATAGTGCTTTACAGCCCTCTCTAAGTGGTTTACAGAGTCAGCTTATTTCCCCCAATAATTTGGGTCCTTGTTTTACCAACCTCGGAAGGATGGAAGGCTGAGTCAACCTTGAGCTGTTGAGAATTGAACTGCTGGCAGTCAGCAGAATTAGCCTGCAATACTGCATTCTAATCACTGCGCCATCATGGCTCTGTACAGGAACTACCATATTGTCCATTATTGCTACTGCAAAAATGCTCCAAACTTATATTTTAACATTTTAATATCTATAGTTCTTTTTTTAAAAATGCTTTGCAGAAATTAATTTTAAAACCTTAACAATATGAAAGGTAGCAACAATGTAAAAGCAAATTAAAAAGTGTGCTTCATTAAAATTTACCAAAATAGAGTCATCTTTCTATTATTTGGTTATAACTCTTAACTGTTGCTAACATTACCATTGTATGAGATATGAAAGCAGAATTGCATGACAAATTGCTTATAGTAAGAAAAATAATAGAGAAACCAAAATAAAATGACTCTTGAATATTAATATTCTGTTTAATTGGTCTTTCGGAAAATTAAGGATACTGAAGATGTTGAGAAAGTCAGTGTCTATGCTTTGAATAATTTATGATGGATAGCCGTTGCTCCCCTTTCCTGTAACTCTAGGAAAAAAAAATCTTTTTCTAGCAGTTAGTGTTGAAAAACAACAATTGCTGCCAGAGGCAAACAATCCTGATACAGTATTTCATAATTATTCAGTCATTTGCTTTTTTTTTTTGTTTCTAATTTGGTTCGTTCCGTAACAAAATGAATGGTAAGAATCCCTGCTCCAGCTGCCTCTTAGCACTTATGAATGACCTGAAGCATTTCATATACTCAGCTTCACTTCTTGCATTCTACTCTATTGGCTGTGTTGGCTCTGGCTGTTGAGAATTGAAATCAGCAACACTTGGAGAGGGCAATCTCCTCCCCGTGCTCAGTGGGTACCCGCCAAAACACAACATTGATTAAAGGGATCATCAATTCCCCCTTCCTCACTCTGACACTCTGCATCGGATCCATTTTGCTTTCTACAGTATTTATGCTTGGCATGCCTTCTTGGGCTGCATTGGAATAGCAATGTAGGCAGTCCTCAACAGCAGTTCATTTAGTGTCCATCCGAAGTTACAACAGCACTGACAAATGTGACTTATGACCACTTTTCACACAACCGTTGCAGCCTCCCCATGGTCACCTGATCAAAATTCACATGCTTGGCAGCTGACTCGTATCTATGAGTCTCCCAGTGTCCGCTTTTGCGACTTTCTGACGAGCCAAGTCAATGGGAAAACCAGATTCATTTAACAAGTGTATTACTGACTTAACAAATGCAGTGATTCACTTAACAACTGAGGCAAGAAAGGTTGTCAGATGGAGCAAAACTCACTTAAGAAATGTTTCACTTAATAACAGAAATTTTTGGGCTCAGTTGAGATCATAAGTCAAAGACTACCTGTACTAACATTGTTAATTTACAATAAATATTGCAGAAAAGAACTCTACCTCCATTCTTAGCAGTTAATCTCAGACAAAAAGTTAACTTAGACCAGGGGTAGGCAATTCCTGGGAGTTGAAGTCCACGAGTCGTAAAAGAGCCAAGGTTGCCTACCCCTGCCTTAGACTAAAGGTAGTTGTGGAAATCCAGCCATTACCTTGACATATACCATTGCTTTAAGGTGTAAAAATAATTATTATTTGTATGGACACAGCATTTTATAGGAATAAAGCAATTGTGGATTTTGAACATGAATTTAGTCTATGTTTCATATCCTGTGTGTGTTTGTATATTTTTGCGTGTGTGTGTGTGTGTATTTGTTTTAAGCATCTTAAACTTCACTTATTTTTCCAGGTGCTGTACATCAGCCAGGGACAACATGGAAACTCTTGGTCCTCCACCCCCCTATGATGACAAGAGGTCTGGAGCTGAAGGTGAGAGAACACAATCAGCACAGCCAATTTACATGAGGGGGATGTTAAATGAAAATATTGTGGAAGGCTAAGGGACAGAAGTCAGGAAAACTGTGACTTAGGACTGTAAAAAGAGGGCCAAACTAGACAGGAAGTGTTAAATGTATATTTTTATTTGGAATTGAGATGAGGGCTGTTATTGAAGTGTCAGAATACTAATCAGTGGATAATAAATTATTTTAAAAAGAACGTGGTTCAGTCATTGTTATAATTTGCATCCAGATAAATTGCTACAATCATGCCTAGGAGATCTACTATGGATCCATCCTATCACAGTTACAATTGCTATTTTGTCTGATAGGGTTGATCAATGTGCCCTTCCCCTCTTCTCTTAACAGATGATAGAAGTTGCGAGATGGAAGAAGGGGATTTCCGAATTGCCTATTGGTTGGAAAAAAATGTTAGGCAAGTCTTCATTCGGAAGGTAAGTCTGATACCAGCTCCCTGACATAGGCTAGACCAGGAAATCAACTGGCTAAAATATTGGCTAAAATAACAGAATCTTAGAAATCTGATTGTCCCACTTCTTATACATCAGTGAATGGTGTACACTTGAGACACTTTCAGATGTTACTGCATTATTCTGGATTTTAAAAATGGTTCATCCCCTTTTGCTTAGGCAGTAGCTCCTGTTTATTTCCCTCAGGTCATCTTCCTTACACTCTACATATACTTATGCAAACTATACAATAGACCTGAACAACATACGGCTCAGGAAGCAGCCTTGTGTGGTCTGCTAGTATTTTGTTAAGTCAATAATTTTGCTGCTTCTGCTCCAAAAAATATGCTACTAAATGCCTTGCTGTTTACTACTAAACAGCCAATTGATGCACCAGGTATTCCTTTGTGGCTTTCAATTATTTTTAATCTGTTATGTGGCCCTTTCTCCTCTATAGCCTGCTACAGAATCTCTCCTAAATCAGATATTAATGCCCTTAGTGCATACATATCTTCATGAAATGGGGACACTTTAAAATGTCCCTCATGTGATGACAGTTCTTTTACAAACTCTGTGATGACCCAGGGCACAGCACCGAGGCAATACAGTCAGCTGGCAATTCAAACTGCCCTTTAATTGCTCCAAATTTTCCCCAAATGCTCCCACGTTTCTGGCAAGCCTCCAAACACAGGAAGACACACACACTTCAGCCGCCTCTGGCTGCAAGTAGTTTCACATACAGTCTGATTAGGAGAGGATTTTACTCAAAGCCACGGAGATAACAAGGAAATGACACATACATCATAAATCTAACGAGTCTGTGTGAATACATGCTTGCCTGCACAGTTTCAAAAGGGAAGCCAAAATACAGTCCGAGATCTTTAAACATCCAAGCAATGTTCTCAGCCAGTCCAATGATCAGAGTTTCAGGATTTCCAAGCAGAAGTCACAGAACAAGAGATCAGCAACAACACACACAAAACTCCAAGGAATCAACGTTTGTTCCCGACAAATGCCTCTCCCCACAGCGTCTTCTTAAATCTCAGTCTTCAGGTGTGCCTTGTGGAGAGGGGTGGGATGCTCTCCTCCCGAGTAGTTGAGCCTACCTGCGTTGTTCCCTCCTTCTCTTCACTCTCCATGCTCTAGGATCAGGTGGGGATGGCTCTTGCTCATTGCCTGAACTTTGTCTCTCCTGTTCCTCCTGTCCCACTCCTGAAGGGTCCTGGCCTGCCTCGGCTTGCTCTTCCCCACATTCCTCTGAAGCCACAGACACCTCTCCCTCGACTTCCATAGGGTCCCATTCCAGCTCACTTTCCTCCCCAGATTCAGGCTCTGAGGGAGGCATGACAAACTCATTGGGGAAGAAGGGAGCATGATCAAAAGTCTTTTTGTATGAAAATGGTGTTCACTCTCTCAGTGTTAATCCAGAGTACTGTGAAAGGAATAAGACATACATCCATTTGCCTGTAACCTTTTACATTTCCTGAACCTGCACTGAAGTGACAAGGAATTGGAAAGGGGGAAATCAGTGAAAACATTTTTTAAAAATCATATGTCTTAACACAGAATTATTCTGATATTAAAATGGTGTTTTGGAACATAACTTAAGCTAAATCTGTCTTTTCCCTAGGACAGACATGTCAAACACAAGGCCCAGGGGCCGGATGCGGCCCGCGAAGTGATTTCATGTGGCCCGCGAAGCCATCCTGGAAACAGTGAGGGAATGGCCCCCGCTGCCTTGGCCCTGGCCCAGGCCAGCTGGGAGCCAATGTACAATTTCGTGGTGGCCATCTATGCTGAAATGCATTCAGTCTTAGCTCCACAAGGCCATCCAGAAACAGCGAGGAACCAGACCCTGCCACATCGGCCCCACTCCCTGGGTACATGCTGGGGAGGTGTCACCCTTTATGAGGAATGAAGAAATGCACCATGCCTTGGCGCTTGCCCCTGACCCACCCCCTTCTGCCAGAGATCCTCAGATCTGTCCCACTCCTGCCCAGGCCCCCACAGGCACCCTTGACGGGAACGATGTAGAGTTGGCCATGCCCACCCAGTAGGCCACACCCATTCCATCTACACCCACCCAGTAGGCTGCACCCACCCTGGCCACACCCACTCGCCCCCCCAAGGGCAACCGCAATGCTGATGTAGCCCTCAATGAAATTGAGTTTGACACCCCTGCCCTAGGATCACATGCAGACTATGGAGGGGAGTTATGCAATTTAAAAAAACAAACAAACCCACAAACATGAAACTGTTTTAAGGAGTTGCTAACGTATGTTACAACATGAATATCCCTGTCTTCTCATCTTTGCCCCTTCAGAAATGAAACATTGGCCAGCCCTTTTCTCTGTGTGGGTTGATGCAAATGCTTGCCTTTTTGTGTGTAAGTCCACTGTTTAGGCTATGTTTCCATTAGCAGAAGCTTTTCTGGATCCAAAAGAATACCTTTCAACTTAATAAGAAATTAGTGCAGTGCAATTCATCAGAGAGTCTACTAACTGAAAGAGAAATGTTACAATAATAGATCATACTACTCATATTATGAATGATTCATATGGCTATGTAGTCTGTTTGTTGTGAGGAGTCTAGGGTTGAGATGACAATTTACTAATAATGACCAGATAAGTGGTCAGTGTTTTAAATTATGTTTATCTTTTTACTGAGTCGATAAAAACATTACTTAGATGCAGAGAAGCCTAAATGGTCTGGAGAGATGACCTGTCTGCAGTTAATTTAGTTAGGTGGCAACCAATGCTTCCCTACTCTGTTCAAAATAGAGAATTTAAGAATTGATGAAAGCTGAAGTCAGGCTGGTAAAATTCCAACACAACATTATGACTCCATCTTTTGTCCCCACCTCCGGCATCAAACCCAGTCTTAGATATGGCAAAATCCAAAAAAGCACTTTTTAGTTCTTTTATTTATTACATCGTGTGTGTTTCTGTTACTATTTTGTTATGTTCATAATATTAAAGATTTCTCTAAAAATGTATAACTCCCAAAATATCTACTGGGGGGGGGAAACACTATGAGATTCTGTTCTTCAGACCTTTTAAATCTTGTAATCTGAGTTAAATTATATATGCTTATAATCTTGTAGCATATGACTGGCCTAGCCTGTATGATCTAATATTGCTGGATATTTCATAGTTATATATTTCACGATTGGCTAATTGGGGTGTGTGGTCTGTTAATGTGAATGAAGTATCAGTCATCTTTTGGAGATGATTTAATTTGGTTTCTTGCTAGAAACAAGTCCTTGGTTCAGTGGTTTAAATAGCCAGCTCCTAAATTTGTAAGATTGAGAAAAGATATGGCAAGATTAAAATATTCCGTATAATTCAGCAAAAGGCTTTCATTCCTGCATCAGTTCTTGCCACCTTGCTGTGGGAGCATCTGAAAATGGTCACCCACGACTTTGTTTTGGTTTTTCATTTTGAATTTGTATCTCTTTTTGTCTTCACAAACAGGTTTACAGCATCATCACCCTTCAGTTACTACTGACTGTGGCAATTGTTGCCGTCTTCACTTTTGTGTAAGTCTTCATGGGTCCAGGATAGACAAAACCATGCAGGTGGATGTGGGACTCAGAATGTGTGATGAACAATGACTGCTGACACCCCTCCAGACTCACATCAGTTAGACAAAAGAAAGAGAAGGCTTTCACTTTTCCTCCTTTTTGTGTTTATTTATTTACTTTTAAAATTTATAAGCCGCCCCACTCCCGAAGGACTCTGGGCGGCTAACAATAAAAAACACATAAAACATAACAAAACAACAATACAAAGACAATCATTCAGGGGTTAGGTTTTATAAACCCCAGGCCTGCCGGAAAAGCCAGGTCTTAAGTAGCTTACGGAAGACCAACAGGGTGGGAGCGGTCCTAATCTCCGGGGGGAGCTGATTCCAAAGCGTGGGCGCTTTGTGGCATTTTGGCTTGTGTGGCTTTTTGGCTTCCCCCCTCCCTCTTTATCCTACTACTGCTTCTGATTTTAGGAACATAAATTATGTTAGCTCCAGGAGAGCAGGGGTAACCTTAGCTCCTGATGTCCAAAGCCTTCTGTAGTTTACACTGTTGTCAAAGAAGCAATGGTTGATAACATTGTATGATGCATTCCAGTGGCAGACTTCCCTCTCTATTTTTGGAGAGTGGATTCCCCAAAAAGCCTATTATTTCTGAGATGTTCTAAAGATAGGGGTTAGAATTTATTTCTTTATTTTTATTTGGGTGTTTTATCCCATCTTTATTGTTTTTATAAATAACTCAAGGTAACAAACATACCTACTGCTCTTTCCTCCTCCTATTTTCCTCATAGCAACAACCCAGTGAGGTGGGTTGGTCTGAGAGAGAGGGACTGGCCCAAGGTCACCCATCTGGCTTACATGCCTAAGGCAGGACTAGAACCCTCTATGGACTAATCCAGGGGTAGGCAACCTTGGCTTTTTATGACTCGTGGACTTCAACTCCCAGAATTCCTGAGCCAGCATGGCTGGCTCAGGAATTCTGGGAGTTGAAGTCCACAAGTCATAAAAGAGCCAAGGTTGCCTACCTCTGGCACTAGTAGAGTTATTGGTATGTAGAGTGCATTCAAGCAGTAAAGAAAAAATGTATTTCCCTTTGGCTCCTTCTTGTTCATATACTAGAAGCCTATAGATGTTGGTAAACTTGGTAAGGAAATATCTATTTGCCTGAAGATGTCTTCTTTGCATTAGGTATATACGTTTCAGTAATTGCATACTAAAAATGCCTAGTGAGCACAGGCTAATCAGCAGCTAGGTGCAAGTCAAGCTCTGGGTGTGGCCCAGTTAATGGGGAAGTATTAATGTTCTTGACCACGAAAGGGGAAATGAAACTGTAAGCAATAATGGAATTTTAGGCTAACATAGATCAAAAATGGTTGACAGTCTAGTAATACTTGATCTTGTCATTCTTCTCCACAGGACTCCTGTGAGCGCTTTTGTGATCAATCACATTCCATTATATTATGCATCTTAGTAAGTATTAGACGAGTGCCATTGGTGATCTATTGCTTTGCTGTAATCTTCCCTTAGTGCAGTGGTTTTCAACCTGTGGGTCGGGACCCCATTTGGGGTCGAACGACCATTTCACGGGGGTCGCCAAACAACGCAGTCCGCCATTTTTTCCCCCTTTTCCTTAGCTGTGCTACTCCCTTTTATTCTATTGGCTTTTGAAAGCCAATAGAATAGACTCTCTTGAATAGAGTCTAATTCTATTGGCTTTCAAAAGCCAATAGGAATTGTCCAGGCTGTCTCTGCCCTGCTGAGCCCACCAAAAGTCCCATTCTGCAAACAGTGCTGCACCAGTTGAATAGTCCTCGACTTAGGACCGGTTGAGTAGTCCTCCACTTACGACTGGTTGGGGATCACGGCATTAAAAAGGTTGAGAACCACTGACTTAGTGTCTTTTAGATATATTGATAATACAGTCGAAGAACTCCAAACCATGGCAGAAAATACAGATAGTCTTCGATTTATGATGTTCATTGAGCAACTGTTTGCAATTATAAGGGTGCTGAACGAAGGGACTTACAACTGTCCATGTGAATTTATAGCCGTTGCAGCAACCCTGCGGTCCCATGATTGTGATCTGGATTCTTGGCAACCTATTTGCACTTTACAGCGAGTTGCCAAGTCCTCCATGATCATGTGATCACCATTTGCAATCTTCTCTGCTGGCTTCTTCAGAAATCAACAATAAAGCTGGCAGGGAAGTTGACAAGCTGCTGCTGCAGGACTCTTCTGGTTTCTGGGGGCTGACTGAAAAAGGTCCATCACGATCCATTTTGGGATGGACCTTTTTTCAGTGAACATCTTGGAAAGTGGAAGGGCTTTCTGCCAGATTGGTTTCACCCCATGTGGGACAGAGTATCTTTGCAAAGCAGCCTTCCCACTTTCAAAGAAGCTGGCTGGAAAAGTTCTTGGCAAAATACTTAGACTTATATACAGCTTTACAGTGCATTACAGCCTTCTCTAAGTGGTTTACTGAGTCAGGCTATTGCCCCCAACAATCTGGGTCCTCATTTCACTGACCTCAGAAGGATGGAAGGCTGAGTCAACCATGAGCCGGTGAGAATCGAACTGCTGGCAGTTGGCAGAATTAGCCTGAAATGCTGCATTTTAACACTGTGCCACCATGGCCAAGAAGAATTTTAGCCTGGGATGTTTGTAGTGAAGCTGGCTCCAAACACCTCCATCTTGGCTTTCAGCATGCACTTTTGCAGCCAGCATTTTTGAGAGTAATGGCTGCCTGTCAGATGGATTTCGTTTCTCCAATCCAGTGCAAGAATTCTCTTCTCTGCACTAACAGGAGCCACCTCCTCTTTTGGCAAGCAGCTTTTCCCCCTCACTGTTTAACAACCCACACTGTTGCTTAATGATTGCACCTGGGACAGCTAGGATAGCAGTCATTTTGCTAAATGATTATGTGGGCATCTTGCTTAATGACCCCATGACTTACAACTGTAATGGGCAGGTTCTACTATCATTGTTTTTAAAACAAGAACTGCCTGTACCATAATATATACTTGACAAGTTGTACCTTTAAGATTCTCTACTGTACTCTGACTTCCATCACCACCACTTCTAACCACATCTGATACAACTTTTCAGAGGAAATATGTCCTACCTTCTTAACTAAGCATAGTCTCATAAAACCTCTGATAAAACTTTAATATACAAGTTCAATTATATGGCTTAAAGGATTTTCATTGAAAAAAAAGTTTATTAAGTTTGGAGGGTAGCTTGCTGTTTAGACTTGTCACCATTCAGTTTGCAATAATTGGTCTTTTCTGTCTTCCCAGTGGTATATTTTTGATCTGTTACCTAGTGCTGGTGCTTTGTAAAAAGATCCAGTAAGTATCCTTTGGTAACATCTATGATTTTATGATGCATCAAATTCAAAATTTGCTGGGAATTCTGGAACGAAGGATAGAGAAGTGGTAAAAGGGGTTGGCATTCTGACTGTGGAAATACAACCTTGACAAATGATTTCTGCCACTTTTTTCCCCCTCTGCAATAGAAATGAGAGATGTAAAAATGAGGCCTGCGTGAAGCACTTCTCTTATTTGCAAATAATGCGTGGGGACACACAGCAATCACGTTCATAGGTTTAGGATTGTTGGCAGCTGAAAAATAATTTTGCATGAAAAGCAGAATAATAAGACTCAAAGGACTTAGAATACGTAAGCAATGAAAAATACAGGTTGTCCTCGACTTACGACCACAATTGAGCCCAAGATTTATGTTGCTAAGTGAGAAATTTGTTAAATGAATTTTGCTCCATTTTACGACTTTTCTTGCTACTTGTGTCAAGTAAATCACTGCAGCTGTTAAATTACTAACACAGTTGTGAAGTGATTCTGGCTTCCCCATTGACTTTGCTTGTCAAAAGGCCACAAAAGATGATCACATGACCCCGGGACACTGCAACCATCGTAAATATGAACTAGTTGTCAAGCATCTGAATGTAAACCACATGGGCATGGGCATGCTGCAGTGGTTATAAGTGTAAAAAATGATGATAAGTCACTTTTTTCAGTACTGTTGTAACTTTGAACAGTCACTAAATGAATTATTGTAAATCAAGGACTACCTGTAATGCAAACGTTGGCTATAGAATGGTTATACAGCAGTATTGCAATGAAGATGCATTGTCGCAACCCAGGGACTGAAAAAACTTCAGGGAAAAAAAAGTTGCATATTCAGAAAAACTGTAGTGAAAAACAAGCAGAGGAAATCACTTATTATATGATTCTTTTGAAGCTTTTTTTTTAAATACATCTCTTCATCAAAAGGTGTTTATTATTGGCTTCCTTGGTGATGGGGCCCAAGTTGCTAACTTTCTCTACATATAAATTAGATTTATACCTTCTTTAGTAGGAAAGCTATTGTCCCTTTTTTCTAGATGCCTTTGAAAGATTTTCATTATATTACTTTTTCCAGCTATGGTTTCTTTTATTTTTAACTGTTTCTGTGCAAGTTTTTTAATTTTTTTTTAAAAAATCGTTTGTATCCTGCCTTTATTGTCTTTACAAATCGCTCAAGGCAGCAAACATATCCACCACACCTTCCTCGTCCTATTGCCCCACAACCACAAACCTATTAAAGTCAGGATGTAGAATCTTTTTCGGGTTAAAGATTTCAGGTTACAGTGGCTTTGCTTAGGAATGATGAAGCTAGAAATCAAAATGTAGCTTTTTAAAATCTTGGTTTGGGAGCTTCCTGTTGCCAAATAACTTACACATTTTGCTCTTAAGAAGCTTCAAATAGAATTGTCCTGATAAGGAAACTGCTTGGAATAGAACATGTGGAATAGTGGTATATCTTTGAAACAGTTCTGCCAAAATATACATTTTTCTTAAAGTGGGGCCATTTGTATGGGCGCTAATTCATTCTCTGGTCTTTTTCAGGAGACGATTTCCATGGAACATAATCCTTATGACAATCTTCGTAAGTAGTAGATTGATGTTACAGGTTGGGCTAAATTTAGTGGACGTGAAATCCCTAACATGGGGAGATCTGAAATGTTGGCAATAGGGCCTAGGATAGAGATTAAAGAGAGTAATATATTTGCATTATTACAAATCTTCAGGTAAAATTTAATTCCAGATTATTAAAACACTTGGCAGGAAAATTATTTTATTGCCTCCAAACTACAAATGTTTCATTACATTCAGATGGATTATCTAAACAGTGCATCTTTCCCTTTGAAATAAATATATTCACAAAGTTGTTATTGAGGAGAAAATGGCATAATCTAACACCAACAATTTGGAATTGGGGTAAAATGGAACACCTAGTCCTAGGCCATTAACCAGTACAAGTTCTAGAAATCATATAATACCTGTACTGAAAGATCAGCATTAATTGCCAGTTGTACATTGCACAATTTAAGGTATTAATATCAATGGCTTATGACCTAATGAAGAGTGATCATTTCTCTCATTACGGACTTGTCCAATTATTAACCTCTGTATTTCTAACCTATGAAAGAGCATTTCACTTGAGATTCTTCCAAATTATGAATCTCCTTGCGAATACTTCTGCTTTTTCCCCGTCTTAGTTTTAGAATCTAAAAATTCCCACAGTAAAATACAGAGGAAAATCTCATTACTATTGAAAATGGAAGTAAGGTGTAGGTTAGGGCATTCAAATATGGGATTCAAATATGTGAACAACTGGTTCTTTGTGTGGTTGCCGCTTCTGGAAGTCCATTCTGGGCCTGGTCCAGAACTCATCAAAAAACTAGCTACTGGTTCTGCCGAAGTGGTGCGAACCGGCTGAATCCCACCATTGGGTTAGGGTTACACTTAGGGTTATACCTGTTTGGAGTCAAGGTGGAAAAATAGTACATACAGATAGACTCTTAGAGGCTTTCTAAGGAAAGCGAGGATAACAGATTTTCATTCACATTTCTTTCTGGTCCACAGTAAAATACATGGGAAAATACAGTTGCCAATGAAAATGAAACTTGGGATAGGATCAGCATTAGAGATAAGCCTACTTGGAGTCATAGCTAAAAACTAACCCTAGGGATAGATTCTTAGACATTTTCGGAGGACATTGAAGGTAACAGCTTTTCGTTCAGAGCTATTAATGGACAGCAGTAAACAGCATGGGAAAATCCTATTGGCATTGGAAATGAAACTAGAGTTAGTGCTAGGGTAAGGTCTGTTTGGAGTCATGGCCGAAAACTAATACTAGGGATAGACTCTAAGCTGTTTTCTAAGGAAACCATTATTGAGAGCTTTTTGTTTGGAGTTGTATCTTGTCCACAGTAAAATACATGAGGAAATTCCATTGCCATTGAAAATGAAACTAGCGTTAGGGTGACGTCTATTTGGAATCATGGCTGAAAACTAATGCTAGACATAGATTCTTAGTAGTTTTTTATAGAAAGCGTCAGTTATGGTTTCATTTCAAACTTGTTTGTGGTCCAAATAAAAATGCATGGGAAAATGCCATTGCCATTGAAAATGAAACTGGTGCCACGGTTAAGGTTATGATTAGGGTAAGATCAGACAGTCTTGCAGTGTTTTTTGTCCACATTCGAACAGAATCTCTAAATTATTTAGATATCATAATTTTTATATTCATTGCACTTTTTGGTTATCGTTCCTTCAGCAAATGTTAGTGACTTCATCTTATTTTGTTCAAAAAAGATGTGTTTAATTTTGTATCATCCACTTCACCAACACGGTATTTTGAATGATAGTTGTTGCCTTTTTGGCTATGCAGTAATGATATTTTAAAAATTATGAAGTAAAATACATTGATGTGGGAATTTGCTTTTACTATATCTGTCCATATGATAGCTCAATTTCTATGGAATATATTTCATTGAACAAACTGCATTTTTAACAGGACTATTTATTCTTGCCTAAGATAATACACTGGCAATTCACTAAAAAAAATTCTTGATCTGGGCTTGCTTGTTAATTTGTGTTTGTTCACTTCTGAATGGGGATGAAAAAAGTTGCAGTGGAATAATAGATATAGCCAAGATGTGCGTAATGTTTTGCTAATTTTGTTTTCTGTTTTGCTTTTCTCCCTAGACATTGGCTTTGGGATTTATGACAGGCACCATTGCTAGGTACTGTACAAGGGAGTAAATGAGAGTCATAATGTACACTGGGGATAAACAAGCTGGATTTTCTCAAAAAATAATGGCAAAGTATCAAATAATTACTAGAAAATGGATAACCATAGGCTTGTGAAATAAAGCCTCTTATTTCCTTAAAATTACCAATAAGCTCTTTTTTTCAGTTTTGGTTATAAATACATCATTGTCATCAGTTGTTGGACATTGTCTTAGGAGATTTTATTATAGTTTTGTCATTGGCTCTTGGATGGCTAAGGTCTCTTTTAATATAAAAATAACCAGATTTCCCTCTTGTGTAAGATTTTGTACTAGAACCATTGTAGAATTAGTTTCTGGAAACATTCTGAAGAAAGATTGAATGGCTTTATTTAAGAACCTATTGTATTTTAAAATAACTGTTGAAAAATAGCACAGTAACATTTCTGGAAAAGTTCTGCCTATTTCTTAATAAAGTGAGATTAGAATGAGCTAAGTGTTGCATGAGAATATTTTTGAAGTTTCTTCAGAAACTATAGCATCTTAGATTGGTGTCAAGAATGTTCAGGTCATCTATTTATCTTATAATAGTGCCAGTAACTGATACAAATTGTTTTTTTTTTTTAAATAAATAAATAAATACAAATAGTGTTTATTTTTAAGAAGTATACTCCCAGTTTGTGCAGTCAATCAGAGGCCTTTCTTGGTATCCATTGATGATTGCAAATAGAAGTTTGGATAACCTCATTATATCACTTTCCACATGGCTTATAAGGATTTTCATAACCTAAATATTTATATTCATAAAATATCCTAAAGGCCTTTTTAAAAATCCCTTTTTTTGCAGCATGCATGAGACCAAAGCTGTAATCCTTGCCATGGTCATCACTACAGTTATAACAGTCACTGTCACTGTTTTCTCTTTCCAAACAAAGGTAAGTTATCTTGTCATTTTAATACAGTGAAAAAGAGCAAATGGGATAGTCAAGAATGAGTAAAACAAGAGGGATAATCAAGAATGAATTGGTGCAGAATACTGTACAAAAGCGAGTGACTACTATAAAAGAAGTACTCTGAGATGGTTTAATTATGTAGCGAGAACTAATAAAGATCAAACTACAAAACAAGTATATGAAGAAAGAATGTGGGTTGAGAGGAAGGGAAAAACCAAAGGCGTCATGATTGGATGGAGTTGATGAGATCCTAAAAGAGAGGTAAGAAGTTTAAGGAACAAAGGGAAGTGTGTGAAGCAGTATATGAACAAAATGGTGTGCATGGTGTTAGTAGAAGCTAGATCAACTTACGTTCAATTTTTTCTTTTTTTCTTCTCTCATGAATGTCTTTAATTTCTTTGACTCATTTCTTACTCATATATTGGCTATCTTATGTACTGTATGTATGTATTGGACAATAAAATGGTGTCACAATGCTGGGATGTCTCATTCTCATTGGCAGGTGGATCTCACAACCTGGACTGGTTTTTTCTGTATACTGGCGATTGTCCTCTTTGTCACTTCTATCACCACCACTGTTGTCCTGGTATACAAATATGTAAGTGGCTGGAATGGATGACTGGCTTTCAAAAGCAGTGTGCATTCATATCTACATATGTTTACATTTGGAACATACTTGCTTTAATTGGAAAGCTATGACAGATAATGAATGCCTCCATTTTTTTTCTAAAGAATTGATTCCTCTTCACTTGACTAAGGCCTTAACACATGGGTGTCAAATTCGCGACTTTTTTTTGCATTGCCAGAGCTGGGGTGGGCACAGCCTCCGTATGATGCAACCGGCCCATGGGCCAGCAGTTTGACACCCCTGCCTTAACAGATCCTTTCTATTCATATTGTGTTGTCCCTTAATAATGTCAATGGGACTGTCACTGACTTAAACTTTCTCTTGCAGAGATATGTAATTAACCAGCTCTTACTTATCTTATTCAGATCTATTGGGTCCATATGCTTTATTCAGCCATTTGTGCCATCATCTTTACCCTGGTTAGTAAAGAATTATTTTCTATTGCCCTGAGATGCTTTTTATGAAAAATAATAGATGTACAGCACTTTGAACACTCTTATGTGCTATGTAAAATAAAATTATACAGGTAGTCCTCAACTTACAGCCACAATTGAGTCCAAAATTTGCTAAGCAAGACATTTGTTAAATGAGTTTTGCCCCAACTTTCTTGCCATAGTTGTTAAGTGAATCACTGCAGTTGTTAAGTTAGTAACACAGTTGTTAAGTGAATTAGGTTTCTCCATTGACTTTGCTTGTCAGAAGGTCGCCAAAGGGGATCACATAACCCCAGGACACTGCAACCGTCATAAATATGAGTCAGTTGCCAAGTGTCCAAATTTTAATCGCATGATCACGGGGATACTGCAATGATTGTGTGAAAAATGGTCCATTATAACTTTGAACAGTCACTAAATGAACTGCTGTAAGTTGAGGACTCCCAGCAGCTTAGCAGCTCATTTCCAAACTGGCAATGATTCATCAGAGGCAGCCTTTCATTGACCTGTCATAAATAATAATACAAAATGCCTGAAAGACAGATGAAGTTGAAGAAAATGCCAGAAGTGCTTTAGCCGTTCAAACAAAATATCAAGATTTATTTGTTAACGCAAATTACATCTAATAAAGTTGAGCTTTCCCAATAAAAGGAAATTGGCACTGTATATTAATAGCACGTGGGGGATTTGCTATAATTTGTAAATTATCTGATGTAATAGAATCACTTCTTTGAGCACTTCCGATTAAAATATGGAGAGTTTAAAAAGTGGATCATTAAGAAGCATCTCCCCTCTTGGTGTAAATTATAGAACTGTTTTCTAACTTGTATGCATGTTTTCTCTGTGTGTACTATTTTGGTACATTAAAAATTTACTGCATTAAATTAAATTTTAAAAAGATCTGAAATTTTGAAATGAAGCCAAGGAATTCAATAGAGAAAGAGTAATGTTGGTAGGATCACAAAAAACCATATTGAGTGAAACATTTTAAATGAAAATGAAGGAACTGATGAAGGATGCAGGGCAAGAAATGATTGGCTGGACACTTGCATCTTTAGAGGTATTTTTTTTTTTTTATCTATAAGACTAATTTCTTCTTTCTGATTTCCTACAGTTCCTTGCATATGATACCCAGTTGCTCTTGGGGAATAAGAGGTTTTCCATCAGTCCTGAAGATTACATTTATGGAGCAATTCAAATCTACGTAGATGTCATCTATATCTTCCTTTCTTTTTTAAGACTTGGAAGCAGACGTTAAGGGAATTGGGGGGGGGGCTACTTAAGGAACATGTTTACAGAATATTAGTATCTTTGCCTTCCCCTATATGAATCTGCTTTTGAATAATATTATCATAACACATACTTACAAATTTCCATATTGCTTTTATTTTACTATACTGTGTGAAAGCTTTGTATATTGTACGGAAACTCATGTATTAAGTATATGGGCTGAACTCAAAGTTCAATAAACTTAAGTCCCCTGAAATAATAATTATACTGTCAATGTATGTCCTATGAGCTGCATTTGGGGTTAATTAGATTTTCCAGGTTTAGGCCTAAGATTTTCTGCACCAGCATCCATGCCAAAGCTCTGATCTGTAACTATTAAAATTAGAGTAATTCTTCAGTTAGCATAAAGCAATACAACTAGTATATTAATGTAGCATACAGCATATAGCCAAAATGTTACTATTTTTTCTTCATAGTACATCTACATGTACTATAAGGAGGCATGTTCATAGCTGTTCTTTTATTAGAATTCCTAAATTAGACCAGAGGTTCCTGTAGGTTCCTGTAGATGTCGCCAAATTTGGTGACTTTAAGACTTGTGGACTTCAACTCCCAGAATTCTTCAGCCAGCCATAAAGACCACAAGTCTTAAAAGTTGCCAAGTTTGGAAACCACTTCTCTAGGTCAAGATTCTGTTTTACACAGAGGTTTCTTGGATGCTGTTACCTGTAAGAATGTCAAAGAGACAGGGCTGCTGTTGTTTTTCAGTGGTCGAAAGAGACGAATCCTCTAGTAATATTTTACTGTGCGTTTCTCGGAAGTTACTGCACGCTATTAAAACATTATTTACAGCTTTTGCGTCACAGGTTGTGAGAGCCCTGTCTCACACACAAGGGGTAGAAGGTGAATCTCCTAGAAAATAGATGATGGCAGGAGTAACTTCTGAAGCAGACAACATGAAGATCCAGAGGGCTTCTGGATTAACACCTCCAGTCTTCCAGCATGCAGACTGTCATTTGTTATACTAGTATTACAAATAAATTGTATGTTTTTCATATATAGTACTGGCATTTTATTTGTAATTCTTTTATTAATGATTGCCACATGAAACCTGACTTTTTCAAGCTGCTGCTTTGGGGGGGGGAAAAGAGCAGGATAGCTATGATAATTCAGGAAAAGGGATCCCAGTGGATAAGTAACTATATGGTCTTCTATCATTGTGCTTTCTTTCCCGACTAATTTTACAAGAAACCATTAAGGTGCAAACCACCTTAGATCTATTTGCGAAATTGCAATTTAATTTTGTTTGTTTTTTAACATGTACTGGCCTTATAAGTTACATATTAGTTGTGAAGTGGGAGGTGCTCAGATTGCTTTTATACTACAAATATCCAACTAAGAATAATACATTTTAAGTGAAAAACATGCATTTAAGAATATCAGTGTTTGGGGGGGGGGGTTACCCTACTAATGAGAATAAAATTCAAGTTCAAATAATGGGAAAGATTTTGGATATTTGCATAAAATTATGTTATTTATTTCCTATAATTATACTCCTACAGTTCCAGAGCAAGCAGGATCAGGACCATAATGTTCAGAATAGGTCTATTTCTGGAGGAACAGATCTATTGATAGCTCTTAAAATCTGCATATTTTTCTTTAGGCATTTCCACACAAACAATGTAAAGACAAACAGGGCAAATACCAGTTCACAGACTGATTAAAATTCACCTGTGAACACTAATCTATCCATGTCATATAAATTCTTTCTCATTATAACCATTTGGGTGAAAGTAGGTAAAGAAAATTTGCAACAGGAAGAAAAATATGTGGAGAATAAATCCTTCAAATGTCTCGAAAAAGAAGCCTTAGTGATTTCACTTGCAGTCAATTGTATTTCTTGTGTAATATCTAAACAATGAATGATACATGGAACTCACTAAAGTGACATCTGTTTCGTTTGTCTTGTCATAGAACCATGTTACCATTATACTACGAATTGGAAGCTGTGAGTTCAGTTGGGCCAATGTTGCATTATGATGACATAAATAAACATAAATTTTTGTAATGAGATGTAAAAATAGTAGTAACAATTTGTCAGCAATTACTGCAAACAGAATTTCCTTCCAACAATGTACTGTTCAATTTGATACATTAAAAAGGACCCTGTAATTTTATCATTATTTTTAGGATCCTAAGATTAGGCTAAAACCTGCATGTAAAATCTGGGTGCCATCTTGCCTAACTGTTGAAATAGAACCAATTAGCTTGCAAATCACTCAAAACTGCAAGTTTGCTTGGATTCTTCTTAAGTATCTGTAATAAACTAACCCGCACTTTAAAATTTTTCAAATATTTAATGAGTTCAATATTTTACATACATTTTTGGTAAGATAGAATGGTGTGATCTGGTTTCATTTGCTACTCAGAATATGATGGGATATAACTGAAAGAACCCACGATTATTCAGAAAACATGGCTCACAAAAAATAAAAAAATAAAGTATAAGTGGATTCTTATCACCCACATGATCACAGCTCCTGCGATTTCATCTTCATTTATCCAGATTTAGCATGAAATCCCTTCAAAGCAAGAAAAGCACAATACGCTTAAAGCCAGGCCGCTGTTTCTTGCCTGAGATACCCCTGATGTAGAGGATTATTGCAGTAATCTTGATGGTAATTTATTGATAACTTTGATCCATAGAAATGCAGACTTGAGAAATTGGAACTGCTCTCCAGCACAACACTCTGCTCCAATTAAGTACTGGAATTTGAGAATCTGAAGGCAGTAACTTAATGATTGAAGTGTACAGTTCAACTAGTCTTAGTATCTAGATGCTTTTCTGTTCTTTGGGTCAAATTATCTTCTTTACTGGCTGCCATCATCTGTCGGCGAGCTTTCATCTGTTTCACACGTTTCTTTTCCACTTGTCTCTTAGCAAGGAAGAAAAGGGTGAATGCAGAGGGAAGACCAATGACCCTAAGGAGATTAAAATAAGCTAAAGTCACCTGGGATTTGGATTGAAAAAGACATGAGGTTCCAAAGAGACAACTAACTCCTCCCCCTGCACAAAAAAATGGAATTGTATTTAGTTTTCTATTTACTCAATACAAGTTAAGGAATTTGTGGGAAATATAAGAAATCCAATTTTAGAATAGGAAGATATAGGTTCTAGGCCTACAGCTCACTATGGAGCTCAACAGGGTGATTTTTGGCCAGCCACTGTCTCACAGAATTGATTCTTGAAAATTAACATACATACCATCGTTGATTTCCAAAAGAGATACAAAGATCATTCTTTTTGCTAACGATTAGGATTAAACCAAATTTTATCATCTTTTTTTTTTGAAATGGAGAAAAGATTTCAGAGTAGGATTGGGAACAAGAAACTCCCAAAGGACAAATCACTTCTACTATTAAAATTCTCCAAGGTTTTAATAGGGTTTCTTTCAGTGTCAAAATGGCCAAATTTTGATGTACAAAGTTGGGCCATTACAGGAGATTTAAAGGGTGAGAACTATAATGGTTTGCTTCCTTACCCCATTAAAAAAAATGCTGAAAGTAAGCCACTACAAATCGGTCATTTTGTCATTAAATTCTGCTAACACAACCTCAGAAGGAAATCATGGGATGCCTACCTTGCTTTGGATCACAGAATGATAAAAGGCAATGCTCACCAAGCAATAGCAACTGGATTTGGAGAGGTCTTGAACCTTCTTGAGGGCATATATTCTACATGTCTATATGGTTGTTCATCAGGCTGTGCTTTCTTCTGCATGTCTTCCAAACACATTGGACTACTGTGAAAAGATTGAGCATCCATTCGAAAAGGCACCATTATGCACGGCGACTGTTTCAAAGTGGCAGGAAGGAAGCCTGTAAACGAAACAAGAAAATGCCAACACATGGAAAACCTGGTGTGCACAATGGTTCAAGTGCAGTAATGTAGGCAAACTCTACCCACAGCCTGGAATTCAATACTGAGAGGGCTCAAGGTTGACTCAGCCTTCCATCCTTCTAAAGTTGGTAAAATTGTTGGCGGCAATAGGCAAATAATGCTTCTACATTGTAAATTGCCATTGTAAATGTGGGCTGCTGAAGGAGATGAGTTCTAGTCTTTTTATTTTTCCTTCCTAGGCTTGTTATTGTCTATTTTGAATGTAAATGTGGTTTCTGTAAGTAAATCAAGCTCAGAAATAGTAAGAATTTCACAATTATAGCATGTAGTGGGGCATTACAAAGTGTTAAAACAGTGGCTATAGAAAATCCATCATACCACTTTTGCATGTGCAACCTTTGGCCTGCAGGCTCTATGCGGCCCTGGATAACTAGTAATAAGTCCCACAAGATTGTAAATATAAAAATACAAAGGAAGTTTGTTATTTATTTACTGTATATCAATTTGATTATATATTTTATATATAGTCCAAGACAATTCTTCTTCACAGCTCATGCAAGGCAAAGGGTTGGACACCATGCTCTAAGTCAGTGGTTCTCAACCTTTTTAATGCCGCAAACCCCAACTGGTTGTAAGTCGAGGACTACTCAACCGGTCGTAAGTCAAGGACTACTCAACTGGTGCAGCACTGTTTGCAGAATGGGACCTTTGGTGGGCTCAGCAGGGCAGAGACAGCCTGGACAATTCCTATTGGCTTTTGAAAGCCAATAGATTTAGACTCTATTCAAGAGAGTCTATTCTATTGGCTTTCAAAAGCCAATAGAATAAAAGGGAGTAGCATAGCTAAGGAAAAGGGGAAAAAAATGGCTGACTGCGTTGTTTGGCGACCCCCGTGAAATGGTCGTTCGACCCCAAATAGGGTCCCGACCCACAGGTTGAGAACCACTGCTCTAAGTCAAGGCTTGCTTAAACCTATGATAAACTCAAATGGACTAGATGCACGTCAGTCTAAGCCATAATCCCCAAACCTCAGTGTCTGGCATTTGACCCTCCTTCATTCATAATAAAATACTGAAAACCAAAGCTGCCACATTATTTGAGCAAATCATTCTCTCTCTTAGCTACTCTACCTCCAGGACAGAAAAAGTACTTCTGAAAAGTACTTTTAAACAAATTAGTAAGCAAGGAGGAAGTCTTTCTTTCACCTGCAGAGAGAGCTGTGGAGGTGACCTTGGAGAAACTATTCAAAAGATTGTACAACACGTGCAAAAACATGCTTTGAGTCTGAGAAAGAGGGAAAGTATGAGGGAGAGACGTCGACTATTTTGCCCCGATTCTCTGGAATATAAGAGGGAGGGATGGACGGAAAAATAACAGCCAGGCTCTCAAAAAATCTGTTCTTCTATAGCCTATATTCCGGTTCAATGTGTAGCGTGTTCAAGATCACCCTCCATTCTCAAGAAACAATTAAACCTGGGCTGTTGGTTTGAGTTTCGAGCTTGGCGATTTGGCTGCAAACGTTTCATCTCCATTCGGGAGAACGGAATCAATCTGAATCAATTCAAAGCGCACTGAAGGTGTCGCCCCGAATGGAGATGAATGGAGATTTGGTTTGCAGCCAAATCGCCAAGCTCGGAGATTAAACCAACAGCCCAACTACCATCCCGAGCTACTAATATTAAACCTTTCACTTAGGTCGCCCGAGCCAACCTCCCTTCTTTCCGCTACTGGGATGCCCAAAGGTCGCGCCTTTCCTACCGAGCTTTCCAAGGCAAAGAGATGCCATCTTGACATGAACTTCTCCCCCTACTTCCTGCTGGGTAGCAAACTACGGGGAGGAGGAACTACAACTCCCAGGACGCCCTTCGCCTCCTTGAACGAACGGCGGTGAAAGGCCGAAGGGTCTTCCCAGTCACGTCAGACGAGGATTACACTGACGCTTCGTTTAGAATGTGAAAGTAGCGAATGAGGGAGACTGTGTTGGCAGCTCCGATTGGCTAGTGTTTTTTTCGTTCTTTCGTGAGATTGGCACCAGTACTCTGGCTCCTCCCCCGCCACAGGGGGCGGGAGCAAGGAAGAGAGTCCCCTGCAGGACGGTGGGGACGCGTGTCCGGTGACGGCGGGAGGTTGGAGTCAGCATGGCGGAGCCCGGAGAAGGGGAAGAGGTAGAGCCGGCGTCCGAAGCGCTGTTGCTCATGGCCAGCGGTGATGGGGAAGAGGATGCAGAGGAGATCGTGGAGGTGGTGGATCTCGAGCCGTCTGGACCGGGTAAAGGAAAAGAGAGCGGTTGGGTAGGACCCTGGAAACCAAGGGTTTGACGCAAGGCACGAGACTAGAAGATGGGGTTTGGGTGAGAAAAATTGTCCCGGACGTCAGGAAAACTAGTGGAGTGGCATGAGGTTTTTTTTTTCCTTAGAAGGAAAGATGATGATGATTACAGTTGTTACTGTTTAAATTGCATTCTTATAGAAAATACTTCCTTTTAAAAGACATGTAGCAAAACAAGTAATGTTTCAGATAGGTATTTGTTCGCAAGAAACATAGTCTAACATTCTTTCTAAGGTAGTCTCAACTCACATCAGTTCACTTAATGACCCTTTGAAGTTACAACGGCACTGAAAAAAATGACTTATGACCATTTTTCACACTTATGACCGTTGTAGCATCCCCATGGTCATGTGATTTACATATAGATGCTTGAGAACTGACTCTCATTTATGACAGTTGCAGTGTCCAGGGGTCGCGTGATCACCTTTTGCAATCTTCTGACAAAGTCAGTGGGGAAACCAGGTTCATTTAACAACCGTTTTATAATTTAACAACTACAATGATTCACTTAATAAATGTGGCAAAAAAAATTGTAAAATGGGGCAAAATCACTTAACAAATTTCTCACTTAGCCACATAAACTTTGGGCTCAATTGTGGTCGTAAGTCGAGGACTGCTGGAGAGGGATTTTGGAAATGGAGCTTGGATATTTCCAAACTGCTTTCTCTGCGAGGCAGTTTTTTGATGTGCATTTTTAAAAATTGAAACAGAGAAGTGGCTTTATTTTCCTTTTTCAGAAGGGTTAATGGAGAGATCAAATGGGTTAATGAGAGAACAGAGAGATCTGTTACTACATCTGTTTCACATATGAATCTAAGGAAGAAGAGTTGGCTGCTGGGTAATTTTAAAACTGCCTTTTTCTGTCACTGCAGATGATCTGGCTGGTGAAATAGAAGATGTGGATTTAGAAGAAGACTCTGCTTGGGAGGAAGATGAGGGGGTGGAAGAAGGCATGGAGGCTCAGGATGACAGTGAAGTCACATTCTCTAAGCATACAGGTGAGCTCTTAAAGGGATAAGGGAATGGCTTTTTCCTTTGTTAGTTGCTGCCCCAAATTAAATGCTTTGTCATTTAAAAGCTCGGGAGGATTCTGCTAATTGGTTATGAACTGCCAAGGCAGGAGCTGAGCAAGAAGTTTAGAGTGCAAATCTTCCTCATTAATCAAAAAGATGGATTTGTGTGTGTGTGTGTGTGTATCAACATACTTTCCATTGCCTGTAATTATGAAAGCTAAATGTATGTGCGCAGACTCATTCTGTGCTGTCTCTTACCCATTTATGGAGGGACACCAAGTATACACCAAATTTTATGTTGTGTATGTGTTCAGTGTGATGGTCACTGATCTCTAGCACAATTGGTTGGTGTGGATCGTTTATCACTGACTTGTATCGGTACCTATTAATGGACCAACTCTTATTTATTATAATTACTTCCATCCACAGTTTAAGTGAAACTTGTCAGACCAGTGTACAAGGAATATAAACAATTGTAAATAAAAGTGCAATAAATATATTGCTAAACTCAAAGAACAACAGGATTGTCCATTGTCTTCTAGGATTTTTTCTCACAGAGTAGTTGATAGTTAACAGCAATTTGATATGCCAGAAAAAAGGGATCTATGGTTCTTTTCTCTTAACTTCCTCTCTCTTTAGCATACTTTCTACAGGGCTGTTGGCAATAATGATCTATAGGTTACAAACCACAAGGACTAAACTAAAATCACATGATATGGCTCACTGTAATGTGTGAATCAGGCCAATAATGGCTTGCTCTGGAGTTCTATCTTGCCCATTGAAATCAAGCAGCGGTAATGTGAATTGTGCTGGATTCTATTCTAAGCTGAAAATAAAATATGTCTTAAATGACTAGCTATTCCTTAGCAACAAAACATGTGGTATTCCTTATAGAATAGATTAACACTTGAAGAAGAACTATGTCAAATTTCTTTGTTGCTTTTCTTAAAGTGCTGCTGGAACTTTGAAACAAAAAAAGAGGAAGAGCTGGCTTCTATAGTATTTTGCTGGGTTTCTATTTGGAGGTTTTCTCAAAGACAAATCCAGTTCTAGCTTTAAGCAGATAATCTAAAGTCTTAGAGGACAAGTGTCCTTTCCCAGAGTTTGGCTTTCATTGATTTGATTGTTCTGAATTCATTGACTACCTTTGTTTACAGGAGATTTCTTCTATTACCATTGTTCTGTTAATTCTCCACAGCTTCAGTTTTCTGTGTCAGTCTTGACCCAAAGACCAACACTCTTGCTGTGACAGGTGGTGAAGATGACAGGGCCTTTGTGTGGCATGTCAGTGATGGCGAGCTCCTTTTTGAGTGTACAGGTGAGGTGTGCCAAAAGCAGAAATCTCTGCAGAGTGTATTGGCTGGCAACATTGTTTCCAATAGGACTCACATTATCATACTTGCAAAAACAACAGGTATAGTAAACATATTTTGGTATCTTGATCAAAAGGCATATAGATTTCTTGATCTATGCACCTTTTGAATGAGTGGCAAGACATCAAAAAAAAGGAGCCAGCTTCCATATCCCATATAAGATGGATTAATTTCTCCCCACCTAATTTTTCCTTTTAGCATTCAAGTCACTAACCAATCAGATGTCTCTGCAGTGATCATAAGCAGGAAATATGTATTTCAGCCAATGTTCCCCTACTTTCCCTCCAGAAATAGTATTGAATCTCCAAGAGTGATGGCATGTGACAGACCTGTCTGCACTGAATTTATCTAATGCCCCTTTAAAGCCATCCAGGTTACTGCAGTAGGTTTACACTCTTAGCCAGGGAAAGTTTGATAATTGATGGAATAAGGAGACACCAGCTGGACATTCTGGAATTGCGGGACAAGAAATAGTAATGCTAAAGCTTAAATTAAGGCCCAATTCACCTCATTTTCTCAGCCATTTGTCATACAAATCAGTTCTTCCACCATCTGGGCTCTCTAAAACCTGCCTGCTCCAAAACATGATCATTTTCTTCCCACTGTCTCTAGGTCACAAAGATTCTGTCACTTGTGTTGGTTTTAGTTATGACTCCACTTTCGTGGCCACGGGTGACATGGGTGGACTCATTAAAGTCTGGCGAGTCGATGCCAAAGAAGAGATTTGGTCTTTCGAAGTGGGTGACTTGGAGGTGAGCCTGTGAGTGTCATGGCAAAAGCTTTGCCTGAAAAAGGCAACTGACTTTCCCAATGGAAAGCGAAGCAAATTTGATAAAGTATGGTGGCGCTCTCCTTAGAGATGGTAGTACCTTTTTTGTAACCCACACAGTTTTGCTAGAGTTGTACCAGTAAAGAAGAATATTTGCAGCTCAAGGTTGAAAGGGGTCTTTGACGCTCTCTGAGCTTGGTTGTTTTCTTGCAGATGTTTCATAAAACATCTGCAAGAAAACTAAGCTTAGAGAGTACCAAGAACCCTTCATTTGTTAAGAGTGGGCATATTTTATCTTCTTTTTCACTGGTGGAGGGGCTTTAAGGAGCAAAAGCATTGTAAGTCATCTAAAGATGTCCAAAACACTCTTTAGAGTCCTCCAACATCCCTTCCGCCTGGGGAGATACTTAAGGGACAGAATAGAGGCCTAAGCTGCAATTCTTAAGATGCCAATTCCACTCTTAAACTTCTCCAAAGCTGAAAATACGTTTTAAACATCCCAAGAATTTGTCCCCTCTTACTTGTGAGATGAAATCATCTCTGCTATGTTCTCCATAGCTCCCAGACAGAGTAGGAAGGCAAACATGATCCTGACTAGTTCCTGTTTCACTGAGGTAAAATGCTGGAGAACTTGAAAGACCATAAAGTGGTATATGCCGTTTTTCTCCTTATTGAAGAAGATAGCTTTCCTTGCATGGTTTTCGGGAAGTATAAAATGTGGCCTTTTCAGAATTGAATGAAATCCATCACTCCAAAAGAAAATTGTCACTCCGGGTGAGGCAAGGAAGTGGGGGGAGGGGAAATGAGCAAGTTACCTCTGCATCCACCACCTCCACCATCTAGTGAAGCTAATTTAGAAACCCTTACATCAAGCCCCTTTCTACTAAATGGTTCTTTATAATA